ACGGTATAACAGTATATTGTAACAAGAGTAATGGTGACGCAATCCGTGCTGACAACGATCCCCGAGTAGTATCACGAAATCTTAAGAACATATTACTTCTTTGGAGAGAAACTGGAGAAACGTTTCACTAACTATAAAGAATATATGAAAGAACATAAGGTACAGAAGAAAATCAATGAAGAAGTCAGAGATCAGCTCCCAAAAAAAGTTACTAAACATGCACTCCGAAAGAAAACAGAAAGAGCCAGAAAATATCAAATATGTAGCATTACAGGTTAGGAAGAATACTAATTCAGGGTAAAATGTGGTGGTCACGTGACTATGATGTAACTCGACCGTGACTGGCTGTAATAAAAGTAAATAAAGTAACGTGAACTACTGCATCATATATTTATGACTGATCGCATTATCATTATTTTTAACACGATAACGCGAACATGTCAACATCCACTCTTAAGGCTTTTTACAATGACACCGCGATCGAAAACTGGACATGCGCAAATATGGAAGAATATTATCGTTCGAAATCAGAACAAAATAGGAGAAAAGTTCTAGATTGCATAAAAAAAGATCTTGAAGAAGTGGCAAATTTAGACGATTTTGATATGACGCGCAAGAGAAAAGCTCAAGATACAAAGATTGAGAATCTTCAGGTAGGCTTCTAGTATAAAATTTTACCAAGATAAAAAAATACCAATATTTCTTCATTAGGTAAAGAAGATAAAGCAGTTCAATCACGCGACCCAATTCAACAATAGCCATAATATAATGTTTGGAGGACATCAAGAAATAACAAATACCGAAGGAACTTTAACTCAGGAAGGAGAACCTTCTTCGGCTGGGATGAGACTTAGGGAAAAAAAGAAAGTCTGTTATATCGAAAGCCCAACAGTGACGGATTCCTCTGGTTCGGAATACCAAGATAAACCTAAGAAGGTAACTTATACCGGTATATTTTAATAGTATGTTATTAGATCGCGAAAACATCTTTTTTTATCCTTGGACTATGTAGATCAAAACGAATAAAGAAACGAAAATAAGAAGTTCTAGCTCTCCAGCCGGAAGTTTAAGTAGTTCCCAGTCAAGTATTCCACGACAAACACCGGATTTGGTAACAGACAGTGATGATATAGTCGAGCAGGTGCAGATGTCAAAGGAGGATTTTAATAAGTTCACAAAGGCATTCCAAAAACTTGAAAATACAAAAAAATGGGTATTAACATCTGGGAAGGTTGTTGAAGATGAGTTATACAAGTTTGGCATGAGATGCAATTATGAACAGTAAGTACTGGCTGTTTTAAAATCAGATTATTATTGATCCTGAATGATAAAGAGATCTAAGGATTAATCATCAACATTAATTTATAGTGTGTTGCAAAAAAAATTCGTAAAATTTTTTATCATAATTGAAATTTTTAATATAAATTAATTATAATCTTGGTAAGTCATTAACGTGTCAAAAGTCTCTGTCATTCTTTTATAATTGATCCGGAAGACAGAAGCTTTGTTGAAGAAAATATTTTCTCCCCTTCTGAACTCAAAGAAATTTATACATACAATCAAAAATCATTTCCGAATTTGCCCCAAGATTTGTTAGAATATCTTGGTAGTTACCAACTGGCACGTATTTTTAATATCATTATGCTTCGATCATTATTCACAAATGATGTTTTGACAAATACTTCATTTGAATAGCCCACAATTTCTGACCTCAGAGCACGGGTTTTTAGGTCAGAACCATGGCAATCAGCTTACAACTGACAAAGGGATTTTGACAGGGATTGGATAAGGAACACCGTTGACAATTTGTAGGTGCAAGGTTCTCTTATCTAATCTAAAAGAATACATTAAATATTAATCATGCCACCTATTTCATATAGTATTCGTGAATATGAAGCAGACAGCCTAAAAAAAGGAGATCATTTAGAAGAATGGTTACTGTCACATGTATGGTTGTTCATAGACAAGGCGTTTGGGAACATAGAAGGTGTCGAAGTAATTAGGTAAGAAATGTGATTATATTCCTTCACAGAGTTAATCATTAACACTCTGGATCATTTTGTGAACAGGGGAGAATCTTGTAGCATCGCATCATCGTCTCGAAAAATAGAGATCGAAATGTTCCATCTGTGAGCTCGATGCCAAGGAAGATCATGGGCAGGAAGGGAGATTTGATAATTCGTTGCATGTATAGGGAATATGGATGCGGAGAAGCGGGTAAATTATACACAGGCTATAATGGTACAAAAATTCTACGAGAGAGAGGATTGAAAACGCCAAAGATGATGAACGATCGAAAGAAAAAAAAGTCAGAAAGCTTGAGACTATCGGATTCATTCATGCAGGTATGATACATACATATTTTTATTTACCAGATTCTCAACTAATTTTTCCGAATTCCCTAGGACTTTCTGTACTATTGCTCAGATTAGATTCTCCGGCAGGATATGTTAGTAGAATCTCTCGTTCTAAAATGCTGACCATCCCATCAAATATCAGTGAGTTTTATAAAGGAGTTCTTCCAGCCATTATACTTGCGTGGAAGGCAAAGGTTTGTGTCTTATAAGAAATATAATTAATTGATTGTTGGAATATGTTGAATATGCTTATTAATGTCTAAAAATTTCTTACGAATAGAAAATCGTTAGCAATGTCATTGAGATGATGAATGAAAATGACGAGGAAAATCCACTCCAGGCCCTCCAACAATCATGCGAGAACACATCAATTCTTTCTCCTCCACGGCATGTAATTTGTCGCACAACCAGTTTTGATACTCCAAGTAGTAAGGATAAAAAAGGTACTTCAAGCAATAAGAATACTCCAAACAAGGCAAAAAGAAGCTAAAATCTAGGATATTGTAAGATTATATAGTTTCTAGTTGAATGTATTAGTTTCTCCGTCATTTTTAACCATGTGAATGAATTTATATTAGTATGTATGGGTAAACATTTAATAA